ATGATAAAATCATTAACCTCATTATAAAGAAAATCTCTTAAAAAGAACAGTCATAGTAATTGATGTGTAGTAGTGAAAGTCATGTATGATGATTGGTCACTGAATGTGGGCAAACAGCCACTCAAATTACTACCAACTAAATATGATTTCTTTTTCTTTTAATTATTTTTACTCAGAACTCACTGAGAGTGACTGCTTGTAATTGTGTAGAATAAGATATTGTCTAGTCTATACTTTAGTTCTCTATTCTCTATTATGAATCTTGGATCGCATATATCAGGATCTAATCTGTATATAATGGATTGTTCAAGTGTCCAATCTAGAGATAATATAAACTCAATCACCCAGATTAATTATATAACCACATAGAAACAAAAAAACTTTACATTTATCAGTTATATCAATCCATTTTATCATTGATAATGATTTAGATAATCAATTCAATGAAAAATCATTGAACAAAATCAATAATTTAAACAACATTTATGTCATTCATAAATCTTGTTATACAACTATCATTATTATCTTTAAAAAAAACAAAACAAAAAAGAGGGAGGGGAGGGAAACAAAATAAAACAAAATCTTCAAAGTGTACATGATAATTTCTAAATAGAATAGTTACCTAAAAAAGAAAAAAAATTTATTTCATTTGATTTATTCATCTTTCTATTGAATCTTCATTGAAATGTATATTTAATTAAAAATTAAACATTGAACAATAAAATAATGAAACAATTGAACATATGAAATAAACTATTAGATATATATAGAACCGATAGTAATCATATAGTAACTAAAATGATATTATATTTTGCATTGTTTTACTCTTTCTTTCTTTCTTTCTTTCTTTCCTTCCTTCTTTCTTTCTTAAGTTAATACACTATTTACTTTACTATTTATGTATAGTAAGAAACAAAAGTTCAATTCATTGAAATAGGATAAAAAAGAAGAATTAAATTATGATATTATTCATAAATAAATAATGATGAAAGGGGATTTCAATGTCATGGATAATTTTTTTTATACTATTATTATTATTTCATTTATGTATATATATATATGTAAAGATGGAATATGCATGGAATGTATCATTTTAATATTTTTGTACTGTTAAGAGAAAACATCAGCTAACGTTGTATAAAAATGATGATGAGAAACAGAATGGAATGTTAGTTGTTTTTTTTGTAAACTTTTAATTGAAATGTTGCGTCAGAATTTTTTTCCCTCTCTCTCTCTCTCTCTTTCTTCCATAATATTAGGCAAGATTGGCCGAATTCTACCGGTAGGAACTAATATTTAAAAAAAGAAGAAAAAAGAAAGAAAGAGAAAAAGGGAAATTATATGTACAAAGATGAAAGATAGGTATTGAATATTTTTCAGTGAAAATTCTATGCTAATCGAGTAATGTTAGTAGAGATATTATTTGTACAGAAAGCTCGTGGAGATTATAGAATTGTGTAGTTTAAATTACACATTGACCATTAAGAACTATAAAGCATTGAATAGTCATTTAATCCTAGTGTGGAACTTCTATGACAACATCGAGGGATCTAACAAAGGCCTTTATATTTTAACCGTTAGACTACTGAGTCAACATCCAGTGGTTTATATTTTTAACCCCAGTCGATTTAGGATATTGTATAACCATCTTCTAATGCCATTAGTGAGCGCTCAACATTACTCCTAATAATAATAATAATTAAACCGCACTGTTGAATAGTCCCATACTAGAATGAAGCAGCTGTCCAGTGCTTCCTAGTTTCTAATAGTTGTCGAAATAATGGTATTAGAAGTAGTTTTACTTGAAAAATACCAAGCCAGTGAGTAACTCTTCCATCATACAGTTAGAATATTTGAATGGAGTATCAAGAATAAAGCTTACTTTATAAACAAAATAAATTCGATTTTGTCTAACTGTTAAACAAATATATTTTGAATTATTAGTTATTCAGTATTTATTCATTTAGGGGTAAATATTTTCTTTCGATAACGTACTTGGGATAGTTGAGTAATTTATTAATGACAGACAAGAACAATGTTATACGGAAGGACTTTGGAGGTGCTGAGTGCTCTGAGCTGAATGTTTTGACTGAGTGTTTTGTTCTTATTATCTCAGGCAAAATCATCAGGAACCACTTTGAAAGACTTTGGATTAAATTATTCAACTCAGAGAACGTAGACTCCTCGATAGCTTAGTGATTATCAATAGTCAATCAGTTTAAGCTCTAGATTTGAACTTCATGTTGGTTGATATTCATATAGATTATTAGTTCCTTTAAAATCTTATTGATTCCATACTGATGATGAGGAACTAATACGAGCCCCAGATGAAAGAGAGAGTCCTATCGACTAACTCTGGATATCAATTCACTTGGACTAGCTGTCATATTGCAGTTTGGTCGATAGAAATCCATCAATACTAAGGACCATACAGTTACTCCAACAGTATTAACAGAAATAATATTTGTGTTTCCCCTAATAATAATAAATAGGAGGATTTGAAAGGATCGCAAAATTAAATTTTATTGATCATTTATTCTTCAAATTATATTTTACACCATTTTTTGGGAATGAACTTTATGCATGTTAGCGTCCATATTGATTATATAGCAATCATTGATGGATACTTAACTTCATTCATATAACAAACATTTAAATCAACTGAGTACAATTGATTAACCATTGAATAGTGACCAATATCGTGTTTGTCTAGTCCTTTTTTAGTTCATCGAATTCTGTCAGTTATGTTGCGATGTGACCACTAGTCTAAGTGACTTGATACCGAGTGTACTGTCTTGAGATGTTCAGTAATTGGATTTAGTCTGCAGGAAACCATAGAGCTAGATTTCGTGAGATTTGGCACTTTTCACCAAAGGATAACTACGATCTTGAAGAAGCTGATGCTTTCAATTAATATTCGAAGCAGCGTCACCCACCTCCCAGTCTAAGACGTTACCATTTGCTAACAATTACTAATTGACATGAAATCTAGATCAAGTTTAGTTTCATGTGATCTACCTCCAAATATCTAACATTCCAGCCAAGTAGTTTGATACATTGGCATTCGATTATAACTTTTTCTTTAAATTTGACCAAGTATTATTCATGTGATTCACATATTCAACCGGACCTCCTTCTTCTTGATCATTTTCATTAAGAAATAAGATTAACTTGGAACAACTGCTTATCGTTGTAATTAATCATTCTCTGTCGCCATATATGCATTCCATAAACACCTTTATATTTACTGAAGAATTTGATGACTATCCGGACTCAGTAACTCAGTGGATAACGCGTTGGGCAGTTAGCGACAACTACTGAGTTCAAGTATTAGTGTAAACACTAGTATTTAGGTGGATCTGGCTAACGAGTTCTAAGTAGGATGAAACGCGTATCTCGATTTCCGCTGTTGGCCAAATAATAAAACTACAATCATAAAGCAACCTCTCCCTTTCCTGGTTTTTCTTTATCAAATTTACAATGAGAACTGTGGAAATGCTGTCAATGGGCAGCAACATACCCACATGTTCTCTGGACGTTAATCCCTCTTCATTTATTCATTTGTTACATTTTTGTTTTGTGTTCTTAAAAAATAAACCATGACAAAAAAGGAATTGCATTTCGATTTGTCACCTGACGAAGAAAACACATTAACACAACAACAACACATAACTGTATGACCAATCAGCTCTATAACATCACTGCTTAATGATGGCATTAGTTACCAATATGAAAAGGACGCCATATTAGATAGAAAAGTCAGTGTTTGTGTGTAATGGTTTTTATACCAAGAGTTCAGTGATGGTCAGTGAAGTAGATGAGACAACTTATTTAGTAAAGACTCAAATAAGAATAAACCTATATATTAGGAAAAATTTGTAGAGTGGTTAGATTATTTTATGCTTCATAACACACTAGTATCTGTGTATGTTGTATATGTGAGTATATGGATCAAGGGAGTTATGTTTTGTATCGTAGTATACTATAATATAGTATTAACACATCTGTAAGATTTTGTAACCACCTAGTTTATATCTAAAGATAATAATCCAATCTATATAAAATTATCAACTAGAGAATGACTTACATATTAAGTGACCACTGAACTGTTAATCTTAACTGAAGATTTATTAATCTGATTTCATTCTGTCAATCACCTAACCAATTTTAAGTCACTTGGTGTAGTCACTTAGTGTAGATACATCAAAAAATTGACAATTTAAATTATAACTCATTTACCACGCTCAAGTTCATTTACTCAGCTCTAGGGTACATTTTAGTGTGTTTATTAATTATACTAATCGACTGCCCAAACAAGAGCAGTTGGAGTATGGTTCGAGGAGAGAACTCAATATCCGAATACTTTAATAACAAAGACGTCTTTTCAGCAAACGATACAAACATATAGTGTCAGTTATTTCTCGTATGTTTGTTGAGAATAGCGATGAATTTTATTCTGACAGTCTCATCTTGATAGAATGTATTTTCCCAACAAACATTGATCAGGTTAACGTTTATATATCAATGAAATACTCGTTATATAAAATATTTCTATTTTACCCTGTTGATTTAAAACAAGAACCAACTACTTTTCTCGTTGATTATTGGACTTGTATCAAATAGGGTAAATTGCACTTCTTTGGATTTTCGGAGTTGAAACAACTTTACAGTTCAAAGTTATCCAAGTCAAATAAGGAGTGACAAAAATTGATTCTAATTCTGTCTTAGTGGGGTTAGCATTCCTTCAAAGCTATGAATTTAACTATTAATTATATAGTTGATTGAATAATACTAGAACTGATTTGTTTCTTTATTCCATATTTACACAATTACATAATCCAAATTACTAATAAAATACAACTTTTTGTTATACTGAATTGTTCGATTAAAGGTTTTATATGACCCTAAATTAAAAAAGAATCAAGAAAATTAATAAAAACAATATTATAAAAGTAAATTATTTGACTTACGCTTGAAAAGTCAAATCATCCGTTCATTATTTAATTTTCATCTCTAATCCTATTGGTTGATTCAACATTCCCACTGCTCATCAATATATTTGAATGATTATTATTATTATTATTATCGATCATTGCTTGATTATTATCATTACTAAACTGCAGCAATGACCAAGCTGACAAATTCACATCACTACCATGTTCAGACTGATTATTAATGTGTCTTGAATATTCCAATTTGGAATTATTCATTGAATGATTTAATGAGACTCTTGAGTTTGGCTGTTTATCATTATCTTCATCATCAATGCTATCATCACTAGCATGAGTATTATCAGATATATTGATTTGTGTGTTCGTATCAGAAAACAGATGATTCATTTTAAGATTAGAATAATTTCGCCATATTGTATTTGAATAATCCAGGGTTCGTGATGCGGGTATATTCGTAGGAAGGCGCGGAAAAGAAACTGGTAAACTACTATTTACTTCGGGAGGCATAAATGATGAAGCCGATGAAACTGTATTTAAATTTGGATCATGAAACTTGTCTACAGCAAGTTGATTAAATGCTAAGGACATATAATTAGTGGAAGAAACTGGTTGGAATGTTGTGGTTAGTGGTAACTCATGTTTTCTGCTATTATTACCAGTATGTCGTATTAGTGTTGTTAATTCTTCTTGAGATATTCGGATATCATCTGTTTCTTTATTTATCCATTCTCTTGGTGATCTGTTAAACCTTGAATAGTGTTCTACTGGTGAACCTTGATACTCATCAATATAAGGTAGTGAATTTCCAGTTATTATGCATGTTTTATCCATTGATGGTACATGAATCTCACTATCAATAGGAGTACATTCTCCTCTAATTGTTCTATTTTGTCCTAAATTTGAATATAACTCAGGATCTAATGTTTCGTAAGGTTTGTGATGTTGATGCTGAATTGAGGCGGGTTGATTGTACATATGGTGATAATGATGATAACGTTTAGCATCCATAGTATTTGCTTCATTCAATAAGTCGTCATTATCAACAACATCATCCTCTTCATCATCATAGTCATCATCTATATTGTCTTGTCCATGTCGTTGTTGAATATCTTCTCGAAAATTTTGATTAATATGACAATGTGTATGTGCGTGACAATGATGATGATGGTAATGATGATGAGAACATCGTCTTGGCGAATTACTGATAGCCGGTGTCATTGCAACCATCGCCGCAGCGGCTGCAGCTGCCGCTGCCACGGCTGAAACGCGTTCAGGACAATAGAAAGCGGTTTCGCTGGGCAATTGTGATGTGAAATATGAGCCGAATTTATTATTCATGGGGTTATTACTATGATTAGCACAATTGTTATTATTATTAACAGGTATGTTTATATTACTATTCAAATTATTTGTTGTGGGATTGTATGCTTGAGATCGATTTATTCTGCACAAATAAGGCGATGGATTTCTAAAATCGATAGTAGGACCGAAATAATCAGAATTATCATAATAATAATTTTTATCATTATCATTATAATGAAAATTAACATTGGCTTCATTGGTTAAACCATTTTTTAGAATTGGTGACTCATAATAATCTTCTATTGAGTTCAATTGTGAAAAATCTGTTGTGATTGCAGAATCAAATTCTGTACTATTATTATTATTATTATTATTATTGATTTTTTGATGAATATATCCTAAACCTGTATCATATTGTACACAATCAATTGAATTCATAGTAGTCAATTGATTCTGTATAGGATGATTTACAGAAATTGTTAATGATGATGGTGATAATACTGATGTTAAAGTAGTTGGTATATTATGTAATAAATTTGTTGATTGAATCCACCAATCAGATGATGAAAGATGATTTATATCACGAACAGTTAAAAGATTTGAATTTTTTAATGGTGTTATTGTTTTTGTTTGTTCTTTTATATGATTCCCATTAAAAGTGTTGTTGATAATTGATAAGAAGATGTAGGTAATAATGATTCATTAAGATAATTCTCTGAATTATTTTGTGATAAAATTGAATCGATAGAATTTGATCGTGAATTTATTATATGACTTAATTGTGAACGGGTTGTATTCACCAATAGACTATTATTATCGTTGTTGCTGAGATTATCATGTAATAATTGTGTTAAACATGGTGATGATTTAGGTGGTCTTGATAATAATAAACTTTCATTTGTTTGTTGATTGATTAAATGCTCTCCGATTTTTTCATTTCCATTAGGATGATCTACATTGATTTTGTTATTATTATTGTTATTGCTATATAGATTAGTTGATGGCTTATATGCACATTCTGTTTGAGTATTTGTATCATTCAACGTTGAATTACTTTGTATAATTGATTGCAATTTAGGGGTTGAATAATTATTACGATTTTCTTTGAAAACATTAGTGAAGGGTTTTAATTCATTATGACTTACCTGTAAAAAAAAAACAATTGAAAACTGGTTTAAAAATCACAAAATAAATCAATTTGGTAATGAGTACATTTATTGTAACGTATATTAAAGTGAGTAAATTGTTCCTAAGTATGTTTATTTTAAGGAGATAGCTTATTATATAATCAATATTATTGTTAAATGGTTGAAAGAAATAATCTGGATGATATATTTCACCTTTCCTTCATCCTATATTAACATTCTTATCATTATTAGTAAGGATTTAAATTATTGGATTGTTAGTAATCAATAATAAATTTTGATCAATCTTTGTTGACATGTGTACCATTTGAGAAGTCCTTCGACATATCCATGTTTTACAAATCCTTTAGAATAGATGAATCATTGCCAGAAATGAAATCCAACAGCTCAGCCGACAATTTATTGGAGTTTGAAGAGAAAAGCATGGTTTTCATGTCCTACTGTGAACATAAACAGCACAATGTAACTACATCTGGCTGGAGAGTTCCAAATAGGACGGGATATAAGCCTTAGATTCCCCTGGTAGTCACCACCTATTTATTCTCAATGACTATATACCATTTGTCACTAAGGGGTATCAGAGACAGTGAGGAAAGAGATGCTGACCATGGGATCCGGACTCATATTATTCAATGATGCACAAATTTTACTAATGAGTTATCTAGGGGAACACTACTTCTTTCAATATCCTAGGTACACTTTCCTAACAATAGGCAACTAGGATAAATTCTTCATTAGTTAGTGCCTCCAACCATCTTGTCAAAAATATATTCTGAATCCTTCTGTAATGATATTTTTAGCGAACATACAATATAATGAATAATAGATATTTGAATGGATAGATGTATAAACACAAAGATAGAATTTAATTATACCCTTTTCAGATGGGTGGGTGTAGTTCTTAAAATAAAAAACTGTCATTTCTTACCATTTCCCTAAGTGTTTTTTCTGTATCTTTTCTCACGTTAATCAATCGACATGGATCACATGGGCAATTTCTAAATGGACAAGTTTTCTTATGTCCTTTCCATGTAACAGCTATCGAATGATTACGACATCGTCGACAATGTGGACCAGATGTAATTGTTTGTTTATCGTCCATCATTGTCACCATTGATCGTAATGAATTAGAATGAGTTGATAGATGAACTAACGTTGGATTGATTCTTTCATCACAAAAAGTAGGATTATGTAATCCAGTGGTACTACATACACGAGTAGTGTTCCGAGTTGTAGTTACATTTTTATTCATTTTTGCCTCATCAATTCTATTTCGTTCCAGGTTGTTAGCTGCAATAGGTAAGGCAGTTGTAGTCGTAGTAGCTATTGTTGCCATTGACGACGGTGACGATGCTACCGCTTCTGTAAATGTCTGTAACCAATGAATGTTAGAGGATGTTTGTACACGATTCAAACTTGTTTGTTGTTCATGTGTATCACGTTGATGTGAATTACCAGTTTGATCACGATAAAGAGCTATCTGTTTGGCGACAACCTAGAGAGATAGAAACCCGAAACAAAAACCAATAGTTAGAAGTTTTAAAACAAAATTTTCCTTTCTAATTTAGAGAAATTGATTTTTCAGAGGACTTAGCCATTTATTTACACAATTATAAATTATTTCAAAGGTTAACTAGATGTGTTTAATTACGAAATTCAAACGCGACCTTCTTTTTAATCATCTGAATGTGATCATAACATAATTTCAAGTCATGACATTACAACATAATCGATTTGTTAATATAGTTCGTATTTTACTTAAATAAAAAACATATTCATTCCGCAAAGGCAAATGAAGAGAATATAAACAGAAAAAACAATAAACTTTGTTATTGTACACTTTAAAACTAGTTATCAAGATGTGTTACAACCATTTAACAATCCGAAAAAGTTCACATAATGTCGAATAACTTAGACTAGTGACTATATTGTAATGTAGTTGTTAGAATTTATTTTCTTACTTTAATAATGTTGACAAGTGGATACCTATTGAATAGTAGAATATTTAAGCTGACAATCAGTTATTTGAATGTCACTTGTGAAATCCTTGATAGGGTTGTTTTCACATACTTCTACATAGTCAAGTACTTGAATAAAACATCTATTCAGTGTTTTATAGTTTTTAATGGTAACCTGACAACACTTAAACGTTTGTTATTAACTCATTGAGTAGACTGATGAGATGTTTATCTTTGAATGATATACGAATAATTCATTATTTAAAACATTTATATATGAATAACTTTTCTTAGAAAATAACTTCCTATTTTCAGTAGGATTTAATATATTGAAATATTATTTTGAGAGTTTACCAAATGATAAAATTAATTCACATTATTCTTAATTAGACAATAAACAAAGGGTTAAGCATTCGCATATCAGACTGAAGGTCCTGGGTTCGAGTCCCGCGGATGAGGAGTTCCATACTGGGAGAAAATAGCCGTTCAATGCTTTCAGGTTTTCAATGGTGGTTTAAGATCAATCGGTTCATGATCTCAATTAAAAAGTTAACAGTCTCCACAGCTTCATACTGATAATAAACAAAACGATGAAATTCTTTATACGAATAAAATCTACTCTCTGTGAAAATACACATAAAAGATTTATACACAATTTATGTATTAAGTTGTACAATCTTATAAACCCCTTAGAGAAAATGAATAAATTCTCCTTCTATTGAAAATTACGAGATAAATATAGAAAACATTCTCCAGCACCACCACATCCACCACCACCACCATCACCACTACATTTTTTACAGTATACTATTGATTTTTTTTCTGGACAAAAAAAAACAAAACAGTTTCTATGTATAAAATGGGGAATTCTTAAAGAAAGAAAATTATATTAAATGAATAAAAAAAATTAATCATTCTATTCATTTATTTATTTAATATAAATTATTAAATTAACATTCTGTTACATTAACATTAGATAGAGATTAATGTTAATTTATTTGTTTTGTTTTTTTATTTCTTTATATATTGGTTGCTTTGATTTTATTCTTAATAATTTGTATATTTTAATCGATTGAATATAATACATATAGATTATCTTATGTTATTTGTATCCCGACCGTTGTTGCTACCTTGACGTGGTGGTCGGGCTTGCCTATCGTGATGAAGCAACCGAGCTATACTGGCTAGGACAACCGTTCCTCAAGGTCCTACCATGTCAGGCAGGTCGGTTGAAGAGCGGTAAAACTAAAAGCAATAAACCCAAGGTCCGAGAGCGAAGTCGTACTGCTGACTGTACAGAGGTGTGACAACAGTAAGGTGTCTCCCTCAGACAACCAGCATGACAGCGATGCTGCCTTCCCACAAGGAGGGATGGGATTAGAAAAGGTCGACCCTAAACATGCACACCTCGCCTTATCCCACGGATATCCGTCTACGGCGGTAAGGTCTCAACAAGTGCGGAGCTAACACAAAAACTACCCATAAAAAGGTCGTGTTTGACCGACCTCAAGCAGTTGTCCCTTGAGCACTGCGGTCACGCTAAGATCACCTCTAGAAGAACCTTTCCACGGTGTGAGCAACCAGGAAGTGATAACCGCCCTCATACCTCTAACAGCACTCAAGACCGCTGTATTCATAATCAACCTCCGTCTTCACTTCTTATTATTCCTACTACATCGACTTTCAACCCTAAACTTCCTCTTTCGGCTTCCCCCTCAAGTGTCGCTATAGCCAAATATTCTATTGCGCAAAACACTGTTTCAGGTCTACTGAAACCTCGCTCCAAACTAAACATTGGAGCCTTCAACGTACGCACCCTATGTTATTTGTATAATGTCATACCTTTTGTGTAATTTTCTCATGTATTTCATCAAAGTATATAGCAGTTCTTTACTTGTTACATAATGTATAAAATGGATTAATAAGGATGATAATCATATGTTTATATTTTATTGCTTTTTTCTCTCTCAAAATATACTTAAATCTAAATGGTTTACATTGGGATTATGATTATTTTTTAGTATGAAGCAGTAGTGGTAGATAAATTCTGAGAAGGTTGATCAGTAGATTTTACAATCAACTAATAATTGAACAAATAACTGAAAATAGAATTTATTTTAAGTTAAATATATTATCTATATAGTAGTATTTTTGAGTTACTAGACTGCACACAATCTTTAATATGAATTGGAATAACGATAGTATCTTGTAAGCGAAGATGGATGGTGGTAAACAGTGGAATCCAGGATGTGTGTTTTGTCCTAGTTGAGACTCGTCAGCTGGATTTACCTGCATTTTAAAATCCTGGAGTGAACATCAACTCTAAGATGCAGGTATAATCCAACTGACGAGTCACAAATGGGACGAAATGCACATTCAAGGTTCCACTGCTTGTCAGTACCCGTCTCTGTTTACAATAGTTGTGAATTAAAGCAATATCAAGGCAATCCACAAAGGATGTGCATACGCCGATAAGAGAGTGATCAATTGTAGTCTTAAACATCAATGAGAAAATTAAAACAATCAATACGAAACTGAATAGAAAGTAACTTTTACCTATATTTCCTTATCAAAATATTAAAGCTCTTTTTCTTTTATATAATCTCAGCTAATCCAAAAGAGAATCTCCCTGAGAGAAAAAAGATTTATTGATACAAATTGTCTAGGTAATACTAATTCATCACTGGTATTTGTTCACTTCTATATAAACTAGCTATGAAGACTTAGTAATTTAAACAAAATTGTCATATTGAATAAACGTCACACAAAATCAGTACAATTGAATATGATTATATTCAACAAAAATCAAACAAACGAAAATCAGATTGGATCAATATATGACATAACACATGATTTCTCTGTCATAATTGATGTTTAAGAATTTTACATCCCTATCAACCTCATATATGACTTAGATTATTTATCGTAAAATTATCTCATCATATAATGAATTAAATATTGAACAATGTATTTTTAAATTTTAACTGATTACATGAGTCGACCAAACCTAAACTACCAATCGAAACTTGGAATTACTAGACGGTCATTTCGCCTCAGTATGGGACTCCTCACTAGTGCTCATCCTACATAAACTAATGAATTCAACCAGGAAAATACTACAATCTCCACAAATCACCATTCTGATAACAATCATGTGCTCGCTAGTGACTAGCTTCAACATGGATTTCTTGGAGTTCTAGTGAGAAACCGTGACCAGGGGAGTCCGATCCATATCGGGTATGAGACAGTTATCTACCTCAGACAACGGATGAAGGGTTGCACAGGATCATGGATCGATCGAAGTTAGATGCCGGATCAGTGGGCTAGCGGTTAAATATTCGCGCGTGAGATCGAAGGACCCGTGTTCCATTTCTGGTGTGCAAGATCGTGAGTGTGCACTGATGAGAAGTCCCATACTATGACAAAACGGCCGTCTAATGCCTCCAGGTTTTCAGCGGTGATCTAGCTTAGATCGACCAGTGAATTCAACTCTGAAAATATTATAATATCAACAAATCCCGATACTGATTTAACTTATCAAGGGATTAACAACATTTGAGAATTAAAATCACCTTGTATAATATATAAAACATTCTCATAAACATAGTATTGATATACTTTTAAAATAAGTAATATAAAAATAAACAGGATAGATTACTCACTTTTCTACCTTGATCAACAAGATGACATTTAATACATTTACAATTTGTATATGGACATGTACGTTTATGTCGTTTAACTGGAATATTATGTCCATGTGTTTTACACTTACGACACATATATGATGCTCTTGAACAAATTGACGCTGTTCTATAATGATGAACATGATGGTGATGATGATGATGTGGATGTGAATGTGAATGATTATTTAATCGATTTTGTACAGTTGAACGTAGTGAATTTCCATATTCTTTATAGTCTTGACTACCAGTCGAACGATTTATTATAGTTGAACTTTTTGTTGTAGTCGTAGTCGTAGTGGTAGTGGTAGTTGTGGTAGTAGTAGTAGTAGTAGTTAGTGTACCTATTCCCATCGTCACTGTTGTTCTTGGATTTTGATGATGATTATGATGATGATGTGAAAAACTAGACGTAGAAGATTTTGATGCATGTGTCGATGTGAACAATGACGATGATGATGATGTTGGCAAGTTAATTAGACTATTCTTTAAATTATTATCACTATCATTACGAGTTAATGATGATTCTAATGATGATGACGATGATATTGGGGTTTGGGTTGAATAATTCAATTCATTTTGTTGTATAGAATGAATAAATTCTAAATTTTCTATATTATTCATTGGTGGTTGATGATCATCTTGAAGATGATAATGATTATTTAATTGATTAGTTAAATTTAAATGAATCAATGGATGATGATGATGATGATGAAAGGTTTTTTCTAATAAATTATTTGATATTGATAACATTGAATTGATTTTATTTACTGATACTGACATTGTATTATTGATTGTTGTGTATACAAAATTATTTAAATTCAATTCTTGTTCATTTAAATAAGTATTATCTGAATTTAAATGATTATTATTATTATTATTATCTGAATAAAATTGTTGTATAGTTGAATTTGTTGAAGAAGTTGTCGGTGAATTCTCATTAATAATAGATTCTTGTTTAAAAATCATTGAAGAGATTTCAGAATTTGTCATTTTTTTTCTTTCTTTTTTTCTTCTTTCTATTTTCTTTTTTTCTTTTTCTTTTACTTTAAATACTACATCAAAATAGAGGAATAATAAAAGAAAATTGAAATATCGATGTTTATCAATTTGTTTAAATTTGTGTTTAATTGATCTTAATTGATCGAAAGATTTCAGTTCATTTGAATCAAGTTGATTTGTTGAACTTTAATAGTGTAATCAGGAAGTATTCATTTCATATTTCATTTATGCTAATAATCCACTTCATTTCATATCTTATGAATATGCCGAGGTTTATGCCAGAGGTAATTACTTTCAGTTCTATCAAGAGGTTGTAACTGGTGAAATTCAACAATATCAGTTAAAGAGTGGATCGATGGAAATGTCATCAATATCTATGTAAAAAAAGCCACCCAATATCGCCAATCGATTGAAGTTAACAGTACAGATCATTAGATTTTATTGAAATCATGAACCAATCTTAGCTGGACAACCATCGAATACATCGAAGCACTGAAAGAAAGATTCTTCCTAGTATGAGAAACATTAGCAATGAGAATTCAAGATCTCAAAATTGAGAATCAGACACATGATCTACGGTCTTATGTGAGGACACTCAACTTCTAGATGATTGGACCAGGACCCAATTGAGTACGTGTTTAACTGTAATCTTTGGTGAGTAACTGTCCACACTCGACACGGTTTAGCTCCATCGGCCACGGCTTCTAACTTGAATTCCGGAAATTTCTTTTCGAAGCTAGTCACCAGTGACCATATGATAATTATCAATACAGGGTTGTGGAAACGGTTAAATCTTATTAAAATCATTAACCTATGCATCACACTTAAACAAATGAATTTCATCTTACTGATTTGAAGGTCAAGGGATAAATTTGAGGCCTAAAATTAATCAGTGTTATCCCTGGTGAGGAATTTGATCACCATTGCTGAAGAGTCCGAAACAGTTATCCAGTCATTATATATGAAAATTATATTTGAAATAATCCCAGCGATTGAAATTTAAATAATTCCAATATTTCGTCCAGCAAACTCGTCTAGACTTCTTCAGGTTAATAAATAATATCAAAAGCATCAAAGAAATATATAGCGTTTAACAATCAAATCAATACTGTGCTAATTCAATCATATTTAGATGCTGACTTTAGCTACCCACCAGTGTTTCTTTATTTCTATTAGTTATCTAATTAATATCAGAAGGGGTTTTGTGGAGATTATAGTAATTTCAATAGCTGAGATCATGAGTCAATTGAAGCTAGACAACCATGGAAACCCTGGAAGCACTGGACGGCCGTTTCGCCCTATTGTGGGACTCCTCAGCAGCGCATATATATATATATATATATATATATATATATATATATATATATATAATTCGGCGAAAAGAGATCCCTTCGCTGAACTTCGTATTTTCAATGTTTGAATGGGAATTATATGTCAAATATGTATTTGTCTTGAGCTATTACACCGTTTGTGTTTGTTTTCCTTTGGAAAAACAAAACATGCATATTTGTTTCAACTTTATAAGATACTAAATTTTTAGTATGTCACATCAAGTTATCAGAGTAAGTCAAAAAGTCCTAACCTGACCCACCCACCCACACTTAAAATTCTAATAAAATGTTGCTTTTGTTTTTCGTTAAGTGAATGCACTAAAATAATTAGAGATGATGGGTAGGTGGGTAGGGTGGAGGTGGACTAACTGGGGAATTTATGGCTTATAAATAACAGATCATCGTTTATTTTTTTTTACCTAATATACACCCATTAATAATAATCATTATTACTATATTGCTTAAGATCAATTTTAATGACAAAAAATAGCTCAAATGAAAATCAATTAAAAAAACAACACGATAAAAAAACATTACAGCGAAGTGGTGATGGCAGTCCAACCCCCCTAAGGAATTTTATGACATAAAAATAAAATAAAATAAATGAAATCTTGTTGGTAATTTTTCTCTTGTTGCTTGTTTGTATTTCACTTGTCTCAAATAGATATTAAATCAGAAGGGGTTTTGTGGAGATTGTAGTAATTTCAATAGTTGAGATCATGAGTCAAATCATTTACAAAAAATATACATATATAATCTGTTTTCTTTTTTACCGAACTTAATTTAGTTAAATGATGTAATAATAAGGAGATGACAGGGAGTGAGTATGGATTGAATAGGAATGCATATATATTTATCTTAAATTTTTATTTTAAATAAACAATTATATTGGTTATGCATGAATGAATTTTGAAAAGATATGGGTGGAAAATGGAATTAAGTATACAAGTGGAAATTTTCTGATGATTAACTTAATTAGCATATGATTTTCATAACACACGTTAATATCAAATTGGGCTACTACTGAAAATCAGAGAATACTGAACAACCATTACATTTTGATAGGTGGCTACTAACTGGTACTTACACTTGGACTAGGGGATTGAAATCATGACCTTCAGATTTTGATAACATCAAATTATCTTTTGAACACAAAGTTGTAACCTATTAATTTCATATTTCCAACTTCAATCTATTTTTCATACATTATGAAGATCGTTTAATGCCATTTCTGACGACTATTTGAATTCCGACAATTTTTTGACATCTATCAATCATAAATTATCATTAGAATCTCTGAAATCTGTTAGAATCTTTCAAGATTCTGTTTGAAAATTCTTTAGAATCTTGAAAACTCTTAAAAACGCCTTGTCAAATCAGCACGGAATACAAATTCTAAAAAATAATGGATTTTGTGTTATGTTCTGACGGAGGAAAGTTTTTCGATTATTTGATGAACGACATTTTCGGTCATCAGAATTAGTAACTAAAATATTAATCTGTATATAAACGTTGTGATACGATGTGGTCAGTGGATGGTTGATCAAGAAACCGATTTTATGACTAATTTTAACCTGTTTCCAGAAACCTGTAGAATATCAATATCAACTGTAAATCTTCGCATATTCTCGTTCTTTATACCCAAAGTTTTCTTTTTTATGCATTCCACATTTTGTCTCTCACACTCGGTTGTAATGTAAGAGTTTCTGAATGGCTATTGAGTAGTTAATGAGTCAGTATCAAGTTTTCAAATACCAGATCTAAGTTCACATTAATGTGACTGATAGTGGAAACTAACTTCCGTTATCGATACATTTTGTTAGGGATTGACATTAGTTATGATTGATGATGTTTAATTTTGTTAAGAATGTGATAAACATTAAAGATTATATTTAAATAATTTCACCATATTTCTGAATACATAGTTTAAAAATTTAAGACTATTGGTGATTGGCTAACTGGATTGAAAATATCATACTCATTACATGACTCAAATATGTTTAGTTTAAATCGAATGAATAATCTCAAACAATAACAATCATTTAATTCATTATTATATTGTTTCAATCTTCCCATTGATGTTAAGGATTAAAATGGATCGGTCTCTTATTTGCATACGTGCATCATATGTGGATTGCCTCGATATTGCCTTAATTCACAACTATTGTAAGCAGAGATGGGTGTTGGCAAGCAATGGAATCTAGGATGTGCATTCCGTTTTATTTGGAACTCGTCAGTTAGATTATACCTGCATCGAAGTAGAACCATCGCTTCGAGTGTACTTTTCTTATTTGTATGTCTCTTTTCATATATTTTCAACAAGTGGATTATTAAAATAAATGATAAAGCACAACCTATATCAGTTTGGTTCATTTAAAGAGTCAATAATTACTTCTACAAATGGTTTCTTACAATTTATGCAATATCTTTCTACAGACTTTATGAAAAGTCGATTAAATTATGTTACAAGACAATGATCTTAGATTTATATACATAAAAGTATTAACTTTTCTAAACGATTTGTCTAAGACAATAATGGTTATTATTTATCATGTTGGTATTAAAATTGATTTAATTAAGAATTTATTTTAAACAATCAGGAAAGGAGTGATTTCATGTTAATTTATATTTTAAGTGTAATTTCCATAAGTAATTAGCCTTTCATACTTGGTACAGTATTCATAGTAAATTATTTTCTTTATTTACTATGAAATCAACCATTTTTATCAATTTTAAAACGTTTAAGCTGTAGATAAATGTAATCTCTAATAAAGTCAATCATTAAATGAATATTAGCTAGAATGGGGGTTTTGTGGAGATTATAGTAATTATAATAGTTGAATTTATGAGTCGATCTAAGCTAGACCATCATTAAAAATCTAGAAGTTATGACCAGTGGAGTCCAATCCGTGTCAGATGAGAAACAGTTATCTACCTCAGACAATAGATAAAAAGTTTTGCAAGATAATGTATCGATTGAAGTTAGACATTAACATCGTTGGATGTCTGCTCAGTGGTCAAGCGATTAAATATTCACATAACAGATCGGAAGTCCGATGTTCAATTTCCGATGTACAAAATCGTGAGTGTACACTGGTAAGTGGTCCCATACTATGACATCAAACGGCCATCCAGTACTTCCAAATTTTTACTAATGGTCTAGCTTAGAACGATTCATAAATCCAACTAGAATATTAGTTAGCTCTACTTATTTTAAACTTCATATAAAGTGTTAAATTGATCATTTTGATACTGATTGGTTTAATAATACATTATAATTTCATTATCCTTTTTATAAATTGAACATAAACCAATAAAGATATTTGTTTAAATAAATGACAATAATGAAAGTCGTGAATTATCAACACTTTTCTGTGTTATATATATATATATATATATATATATATATATATATATATATATATATATATATCATAACAAGTGGCCTGTTGAAACTAATACAACTTTCATCATTATTTATGAGTACATAAATGTGCAATAACTATTTCGTAGTTGAGATAATGTTTTCTTTCTTTTCTGTTGTTCTCCTTTTTTCTAATTTTTTTTATAATTTAAAGAAAATCAATTTAATCCGTTGTTACTATGTGTATATATTAATGATTTGTACCTAGTAAA